GAGCAGCAGCCTCGCTAGCACCTAGAGCAGCAGCCTCACCAGTACCTAGAGCAACAGTCTCAATGCCCGGGTCGGGCGGAAAACACCGGTAACAGTCACCCTCATCACTAATAGTCACAGCATACATGGCAGCAAGAATAGCATCAAAGTCAAGGTCAAAGACAGCTACTCCCGCCCTAGAAAGCTCGCCCCAGCGGGGGATCTCAGTGGCCTCCGGGAACTGGTGACGCCAAGCGTCCGTCAGGCGGCCAAAGCAGCGCTGGGTGGAGTGCGCACCCCCACACTGCTCACCCGCGCGGTTGCCGGTGCGTAGGACGTAGGTGCACGGACCAGTACCCCCACCCCGCTGGTGTGCAGCGTACCACTCACGGAGCTGCTGAGGAGGGGGGATGTCACGAGTGCGCTGCTGCTGCTGCTGGCGCTGACCACCACCGGAGCCGACACTCTGCGTAGCGCCACCCCGACCAGCTCCACCTCCACCGCCACCGCCGCCTCCACCGCCGCCGCCTCCACCTCCGCCACCTCCGCTCCCACCGCCAGCGCCGCCGCCGCCTCCGCCTCCACTGCCGCCACCGACACCTCCACCCCCGCCACCACCCCCACCGCCACCCCCACCCCCTCCACCGCCTCCACCGCCTCCTCCACCGCCCCCGCTAGCTCCTCCAGCGCCCCTGCCCCCCTTGCCCTTGCCAGGGCGGCGTTTCCCGCTAGGGGTAGACGCCGCACCGACCGACTCAAGCCCAACGAGGTCGGCCGCAGCAGCAGAGGCAACAGAGGGCAAAAGGGGGGAGGGGGAACACCCCTCAAAGATGGGGGTGCGAGGGTCACCACGAGAGGCTCCTACAACGACTATGCTCTTCTCCGCTGCTAGGAGGGCCTTCTCGAGGAGGTCAACGGTGAGAGTGGTGGGGCAAACCGAGAGGAAGTGGTCCCTGACTACGCGAAGGGAGTCAGGGAGGCGGGTGACGATGTAGTAGAGAGTGATGTACATGGGGGGGGGGTTCTTGGCGCAGAACTCAGCAGGAAGCGCAGCGCGGTAGCGAGTGTCACTAGTGCGGAGGTGCGTAATGAGGTCAGCGACTGTGGGAAAGGCAGCAAGGTCAGGAGAGGTATGGTAGCATGAGGCGGCTCAGTGCAGCAGTGGCAGGGGAGGAGTAGCGTGCAACTACAGCGTGGTATAGGGTCTGAGCACTCTTGTACTGGCTAAAGTGTGCACGCTCAGAGGTAGGCAGGTGGCGACGCACAGCAAGACGTGCAGCAGCATCGCGTGTGGCCCACTATGAGCGAACAGTGGGATCAGCATCAGCAGCAGGGGCAGGAGAGGCACCAGAGGTGAGGTCAAAGAGGGAGAGACCGTCTGCCCTATCGCACTGTAGGAAAAGCTGTAGGTCATCTACCCAGATGTCAATGTCAATGGCCCGACCCTCAGCGTCAAAAGTGAGGACACTAGGGGTAGCCATGACAGCAGTAGACTAGTAGCACGAACAGTGGGGTAAGGGCAGTGCAGTGACAGAGGCGCTGCTCTTACCGGACAGGGCGGCTCGGGCGGCTCGGCGGCTCGGGGGCTCGGCGGCTCGGCGGCTCGGCAGGAACTGCAGCTCGGCGGTTGGCGGCTCGGCGGCTCGGCAGCTCGGCGGTTGGCAGGAAAGCATAAACTATAATGTTCTGACACTGCCAACTTATGGAGTCGTCACGACAATGACCGGCAGGACAGTAGCAGCCGATACCACCTCCGAAACATACGGACTTCGTCACAGGGTTACTGGCTGGGGCGAGTGGAAACAATGCGATCCTCGTCGTCGTTGTTCGGCTAACAAAAATGGCCCATTTTGCAGCTTGCAAGAAGTAAATCTCAGACGAAGAAATAGGACGACTCTTCATCGCCGCGGTCGTCCGACTGCACGTGATACCCGCGGCGATCATCAGCGACCGCAACACGAAATTCACCAGCAAATTCTGGCGGAACCCGTGGCAACAATTTGGCACGTGGCTACAGTTCAGTTCATCATACCATTCCAAAACCGACAGTCAAATGGAGCGGACCAATCAGACAATGGAACAGTTAATTCGAGCCACATGCGACAACCCGACAACTTGGGAGTAGCAGTTGCTACTCATCGAGTTCGCATACAACAACTCTACGTGAGAAACAACGCAGCAGTCACCATTCTACCTTAACTACAAACAGAACCCCACCGTACCCATGACGCCAAATCCCGACAACCCGATCCTACGAGCACAACAATTTGCCAAAAATTTACAAGCAGCCCGGACCTAAGCAACAGATGCTATAAAAAAATCAAACATCATCGCTAAGCACAATGCCGACCACCACCACCGCCCCGTCACTTACCAACCCAACGACCTGGTACTACTCGACACCCAGAACCTTTGCCTGCCCGTCAATCCGAAATTACGCCCCCGATATTGCAGGCCACTTCGCCTCACCGACATGATCACGCCCGTCACCGCCTGTCAGAATGTTATTCTTATGTTCTAGCCTGTAGTGGGGTGCTCTATAGCGAGTACAACCCTTCTAGGGTTTGCTATTTGTGTCCCCATTTCTGCTAGTTCAACCCTCTTTCTTCTTCTAACTTTTGACATGCTATCAGAGCAGGTCGATCCCTTTGGATCGATCCTGTGGGTGTGTCCCCACCTCGCTTCCGCTGCTACTTTTTTTTTTTCCTCCCGCCGTGCGCCCCGAGGCGCGCGGCGGTTTTCTGCCCGCCGTGCGCCCCGAGGCGCGCGGCGGTTCTTTGCCCGCTGTGCGTCCCGAGGCGCGCGGCGGGCTTCTGCCCTACGTCGCGGCCCCGCCCCGACCGTCGCGGCCCCGCCCTTCGACGCGGCCCCGCTCTACGTCGCGGCCCCGCCCCGGCCCGTCGCCGCCCGTGCGCCTGCCCGGCTCGGCCCCGCTCTACGTCGCGGCCCCGCCCCGGCCCGTCGCCGCCCGTGCGCCTGCCCGGCTCGGCCCCGCCCTACCTTTGCGGCCCCGCCCTATGTCGCGGCCCCGACCGTCGCGGCCCCGCCCCTCGTCGCGGCATCGGCCCCCCCCCCCCCCCCCCCCCCCCCCCCCCCCCCTCCCCCCTTTTCTCCCCTCCCTGCCATTTCCCGTCGCCCGTCGCGGCTCCTTCGGGGGCCGCAAGCGGCCCCCTCAGGTCGCCACGACGGACGACGGGAGGGGCGAGCTGTTGGGTGGCGGGTATGGGGGTGCTCGGTGGGCCTTCCTCCCTTTGCTCCTCCTCCTCCTCCGTCTCCCACTGCTGCAGCTGTCGCTGAGGGGGGTGGTTGTGTGGGAGACTCGGGTTTAGGGTTTAAGGGGGGTGCGTGGGAGTGGAGCTAGGGGTGTATCAGCGGGTGTGTGTTGGGGGAGTTGGATAGTTAGGGAAGCTGCATGGAGGTTGCCGTCGTGTCGTCAGCAGCACCTGTATTCCGGGGGCTTCGCCCGGTAGCCCAGTCGTAGCCAGCTGTGCCAGCCGCCCGTGGGTCCGTTGCTCGTCTGCCGCTACTTTAGCCGCGGGGCCAGTTACTCCAGTAGTCCGGGGGCTTCGCCCGGTAGCCGCTGTGCCAGTGTGCCTCCTGTTGCCCGTGTGTCTGCAGCTTCAGCCGTCGCCTCCCAACTCCTCTCGCTCTCACTCCTCCTCCTCACTTGCCCGTTGTGACCACCACTAGCTTTGCTGATAATTGTGCACTTGAACTTGCTTCTTGAACTTGTGCTCAGAATGTGTGGTGACATTGTGATCCACCCTGAGCTTGTACTGCTTTGCTTGCTCTGCTGATTACACCCCACTTTGGCTATGGGGGTGTGTCAGAATGTTATTCTTATGTTCTAGCCTGTAGTGGGGTGCTCTATAGCGAGTACAACCCTTCTAGGGTTTGCTATTTGTGTCCCCATTTCTGCTAGTTCAACCCTCTTTCTTCTTCTAACTTTTAACACCGCCCACCTCCTCTTGCATGCTGACTGGTACGTTAGCCCATCCTTCCACATCAGCCTCCTCCGCCCCTACGTCTCGTTAACGAGTCAACTGACACGTAGCCGCCCGTCCAGTACGACACGACCGCCACTCGAACCAGTCATCACCCTAAAAAATATTGAGCTATCGTGTTCGTGACCCATGTGGAGCTCGACACATCGAGTTCCTGGTTCGCTGGAAGGACCGCACGCACACAGAAGATAATTGGGTCTCCCTAGATAAAATTGAGAACCACCCTATCCTCGATAAGTACATGCGCAGCCAAAATTTCCGCGCGACGTACACGCTCTTTCGTTAGGGGGCCTTTCTTGGGCAGGGGGGTAGTGTAAGGATACTTCCTTTTCCTTACTTCGCGCCCATGCTTACCGCGTACATGACTGTTCTCGCCAATAGTACCCTACAGTAAACCGTTACCACATCGCGACACTTGCCTCGACTACTGTTCCCGCCACTTTTCACATCGCGACCCAACCTCACGGCTTGGCTGGTTACCCACGCTCCAGTCCTCCACCTCGACAATTCCCAACCTCGGCGCTAGGGCCGTCGCGCACCCCATAATTCGCTCTTTACCATTACCACTAGTTCTCTATTTAACATTCTCTCATTCCTTAGCTCAATGTAATGTTTTGCTTCGATAGCGGAATCTTCGTTCACTCACTCAAACTAAGAATCCGCTGCTTGAAAACTTCGCACAAGCCTGAAGAGGTCATATGGGGCGTGTAACTTCTGGGTCGATTACGGGTCCATCGAAAGTACCACCTCACCTAGAACATCTCCCGTCAGCCTCACAACCTAGACACGCGCCTGTTATTTATTTGCCTCTCGCCTTCACTTCCTACCTGACGCATGCGCTCAACACGGGGAAACTTTGACGAGGACAAATCGGCGACGAATGCTGTCCATGTGGCAGATCCAGTGAATCTAGATCCGAGTCACCACTGACTGATACTGCACAGACAAAGAGGTAGCGAGAAGTTTTGGCGAGAGAGGCGAAGTACGCGACGAGCCGTAGACGCGCAAAGAACAGCCATGGAGGCATCGGTAGTGTCGGATGCAGGAAACGTCGAAACGCTTAACGGTGAAGCCAAGCAGAGCGAGACGAGTGGAAGCGAAGGTGGAGAGCGAGAGACGCAGAAGAAAGGGCAGGAAGAGCGGGAGGAGAGCGGAGACGGGCCGAGAGGAGACGGAGACGGGGCGAGAGGAGACTGTGCGCAGCCGCATTTGCTGACCATTGAGGAGGCGACGATGCGAATAAGAGCCATCGCGCAGGAGATCGCATTCCCCGCGCGGCGAAGGGGACGCGGAAGGGGCTACGGCGGAAGGAGTCGGGGTCGCGGTAAGGTGGAGCGGAGTGGGGCGGGACTGGGGGAACGAGGAGCGGAGGAGAAGCAAAGAAGTGAGGGAGAGCAAAACGAAGAGGAGAGGACACGAGAGGAGGACGAGCGAGCTGAGATGACGAAACGAGACGAGGAGCGTTTACGGAAACTGGAGCAGGAAAGGGCTGGGGCAGACGGGGTGGGAGGAGACGGGATGGACGGCCGTGCGGAGCAACAGGGGATGGGCGGCAGTGCGGAGCAAGAGGGGATGAGTATCGCGGAGGCGATGGAGGCTGTACGGTCCCTTGCAGGGAAGCCTGCGCTCAACGAGGTTCGGCGAACGGGACATGGAGGGGCGTCTGGCGTGAGTGATGAAGGAGGGGATAGGGTGGAGCTGAAGGGGGCGAAATTGGGAGAAGGAGGTGCGGTGCAATGGAGAGTGGAGGAGGAAAGGAGGGAGGAGGGAGTGAAGAGAGAAGTGGAAGAGAGGAGAGTAAAGGAGGAGAAGGGAAGAGAGAAGGAAGAGCGGAACGAGGAGGAAGAACGGGTTGGGGAGACGAAAAGAGAAGAGGGGAATGTACCAACATTGGGGCAAGAAAGGGCGAGAGCCATAGAGCGCCTTAGGCTGTTGGCACACGTGCCACATTGTGATGGGCAGGGCGTGGAGACGGAAATGGATCATTGTGATGCTGCTGGTAGTGGTGGTGGTGGTGGTGGTGGTGCTGCTGCTGCTGCTGCTGCTGCTGCTGCTGCTGCTGCTGCTGCTGCTGCTGCTGCTGCTGCTGCTGCTGCTGCTGCTGCTGCTGGTGATGCTGCTGGTGGTGATGCTGCTGGTGGTGCTGTTGTTGGTGCTGCTGATGGTTCTGATTCTAGTAGTGATGGTGCTTCTGCTGGTGTATTTGCTGCTGCTTCGGCCGCTAGTGCTGTTGCGGCTGCTGCTGCTGCTGCTGTTGATGCTGCTGCATTTAGCACCGTTGATGATGACGATACGGATAGTGGCAGTGACGAGGACGAGGACAGTGCTGACGAGGACAGTAGCCTATCTGATGTGGACACGATATGCACGCTCGTACACAGCGACGTTTTTGTGCAAAGGCAAGTTTGGTTTGGCCCTCCTCAACCACCTCCTAAACCACCTTCTGAACCACCTCCTAAAGTACCTCCTAAAGTACCTCCCATACCTCCTTGCAAGCCACCTCCCATACCTCCTGACCCAAACAGTCCCTACCGTGCTGGCTATGTAATAATCTTATGCCTGTTCTTTCCCCACCTTTCCCCCTGATGAAAGATGGGTTTTGAGACGTCTCAAATCCCCCCTCCCCCTCCTCAACAACTCCCACCACCAGGCTCTACCACATATGCTATATGGCGGAAGCTGCCAGGAAGCTGGGCTTGGACGGGTCGGCGGCGGCGTTTGTCCCGTTGTGCAGGGAGCTGGCCAATGACAGCGAGCCTGAGATCCGCCAGACGCTCGCCGAGCAGATTCCGCAGCTGCTACGCGCATATGCCCCGGTACGCCCTGCCTGCGCGCATATGCCCCGGTACGCCCTGCCCTGCCCTGCTGCACCGCCCCTGTGTTGCTCGCCCTGCCCTGCTGCACCGCCCCTGTGTTGCTTGCCCTGCCCTGCTGCACCGCCCCTGTGTTGCTCGCCCTGCCCTGCTGCACCGCCCCTGTGTTGCTCGCCCTGCCCTGCTGCACCGCCCCTGTGTTGCTCGCCCTGCCCTGCTGCACCGCCCCTGTGTTGCTTGCCCTGCCCTGCTGCACCGCCCCTGTGTTGCTCGCCCTGCCCTGCTGCACCGCCCCTGTGTTGCTCGCCCTGCCCTGCTGCACCGCCCCTGTGTTGCTCGCCCTGCCCTGCTGCACCGCCCCTGTGTTGCTTGCCCTGCCCTGCTGCACCGCCCCTGTGTTGCTTGCCCTGCCCTGCCCTGCCCTGCACCAGTTCGCCCTGCCTGCGTGCATATGCAACGCTATGCACTCCCCCTGCTGCTGTGTGCCCCTGCCCTTCCCTGTACCCGTGCACCCTGCCTGCATTGCTTTCAATATGCACACCACATGTGCATACACATGTGCACAACGTAAGTACGTAGTGCGAGCAAATCAGCTGCATTGGTTGTGCCTCGCAGGAATTCACTGTACGATGCCGTCGCGTCGCGCCACCCGCTTATGAAATCGCTCATGTTCCCACGGGAAGGGCCGCTTCCGCTCTCCCACCTGCTTGCTCTCAGCTGCTGTGCTGCTGTGCTGCTGGTTCGGGTGCTGCTGGCGGCGGTGCTTGAGGAAGGAGCGGAACAGCCTCTCCTGTGGATGAGGAAGATTCCTCCTCTCATGCATGCATGCGTGCCCGCCCACACACCTGTCAATTTGCACACCCACCCACCCTTCCACCCGTCCACCTGTCCGCTTGCCGACCCATCGGATCCACCCATCCACCGCCTGCCCTCTTGCTCATGTCAGGCGGGCAGCAGGGCGCGCGGGGCACTGATGAAGCTCATGGACGTGGCGAACCTGCCAAGCTTCTGCATCCGATGCATATCCCCTGCCCACGCAACCCACCTGCCTACCTGTCCACCCTCCCCCCCCGTGTCAGGCGGGCAGCAGGGCGCGCGGGGCACTGATGGAGCTCATGGACGTGGCGAACCTGCTGCTGCTGGACGAGGCTGAAGAGGTGAGTGAGACAGTGGGGGGGGCGTATGCACAGGACGGACAGTGGATGGACAGGGAATCGGACTTAGGGAGGGAGGAGGAGGGGAGGGGGGTAGTGCACGGGGGCACTGATGGAGCTGATGGACGTGGCGAACCTGCTGCTGCTGGACGAGGCTGAGGAGGTGAGAGAGGGTGGAGAAGCACAGGAGGGCAAGGAAGGGAGAGGGGGAAGAGGGGGGTAGTGGATGGGCGCAGAGTGCGCTGATGGTGGAGCTGATGGGCGTGACGAGCCAGCTGCTGCTGGACGAGGCTGAGGAGGTGAGGGTTGGGGCGGGGTGGGGGTTGGGGTGTTGCTGAGATGAAAGTGATGGTGATGCGTACAAGGTGCTGCTGGGTGCAGGCGACAAGGTGAGTTAGAGAAAGGGGAGAACGGGTAGGGTGGAATGGTTGCGCTGTTGGCAGAGAAGAATCAGGGGGTGATGGCGTGATGGTATTCCTGTTGGCCTGCCCCCCACACACCTCCTTCCTCGCTTCTCGGTGTGGAATGGAGGAGGAAACTAAGGCTTAGGTCATGGTGTCGGCGCTCCCCCTTCTGAGATTCTTCCTCTTGTCAGCCACCTCAAACCTTATCCTCAGTGCTGGCGCTGCTCAGGCCATGGCTGATTCATTCTCACCTTCCTCTGCACTTTCCTCCGCCCCTTCTGTTACTCCCTCTTCTGCCTCTTCCCCTGCCGCTACCTCTGTGCCTTTGCCCCTGCCTCTCTGCTCCCTGCAGGTGCAGGTGGCGATGGTGGCATATGGCACGGAGGAGGAAGCCACAGCCCATGCTGCTCTGCTCATGCTGTTTTGCCCTTCTGCCCCTTCTTCTGCCCCTTCCTCTGCCCTTTCCTCTCCCCCTTCCTCTCCCCTTTCCAGATGCAAGTGGCGATGGAGGGCGGCTATGTGGCAATGATGGCGTATGGAGCGGAGGAGGAAGCTACAAGCCATGGTGCCGTGCTCATGCTGGTTTGTGCCCCTTCCCCTTCCCCTTCCCGCTGCCTCTCCTCCCCGCACCTCACAGGTACAAGTGGCGATGGAGGGCGGCTATGTGGCAATGATGGCATACGGCGCGGAGGAGGATGCAGCGGTGGAGGCGATGCTGCTCAATGCCCTGCTGCGCCTCGCGCTGCTGCCGCACTCCCAGCCTGCTCGCGTCTGCGCTGCCTCTGTGAGTCAATGGAGTGGACCCTCTTTTTGGGTATTGGTCCGTTTGCAGTAGCATCAGCAGCAGCATCAGCATCAGCATCAGCATCCCCGCTCCTCCTCTTCGGCCCCCTTTTACCCCCCTCCGTGTGTCTCTGTGTGCATATCCAGTCTCTCCCCTGCAGCTTGATGCCTTCTCCGGTGCCGGTGCACTGTGCGGCAGTGGATGAGCCATTCCCTCTTCGTGCACCCAGCTGCTTTTAAGTCGAATGGCAAAAAAAAAAAAAAAACCCTGCCACCCACCTTCTCAGGTACTGGTGCGCTGTGCAGCGGTGATGAGTCGCCCGCTCTTTGAGCACCGAGCCGTGCCGCACCTACTTGCGCTCGCTGCTGACGTGCACTTCCAAGTCAGAAAGGTAGGCTGCTGTCTCAGGTGCAAGTAAAAATGGCACATTACTGACTCACCTTCAGTTCAATAACGTATGGTGCTGATTTCCACTTTCAGCCTGGTCAGGCATGATCTTACTCCCACTTTTGCTTCTCAGCATATCGCTCGTTCTGCTCAGCATAGCTCGCTCCCCCTCGTTCTCTAGCGCTTTATCCCGCTCGCTTCTTAGCTTCCCAAGCGTTGGGCACTGAGAGGAGAACAAGTCTCTACAGATGCTGTCCTTCCTTTCTACCCATGCCACATCATCACCCTCTCCCACCTCCGTCCTTCCGTCATCTGGCTTCAGGCACACGCCTCTCTTGATTCTAACAGCGCTTAGACCGTAAGCTGGTGGAGAGATGCTGCATACTTCCATTGCTCACTCTCCCCTCACTCTTCCCCCCGTACTCCTCTCCGCGCCTTCCCCCATGCAGGCAGTAGCAGAGGGCCTGGCGCAGTGCTGCAGGGCCATGGGGGCCAATGCTGCATGCCTGGACGGCTCTCTGGTGAGTGCTAAGCATTCAGAAGGACTTGTTGTCCCCTCCACAGCCTCTTTCACTCACACTCAGGGAAAAAAAAAAGGAAAAAGAAAAAGAGTAATGTGCAGTGCAGGTTGAAACCTCTTGCTGTGTTCCATACCACCTGGGCAGTGCAAGTGGCATGGACAGAGGGCGTAGTAGCAATGGCACAGGCTGCTTTATTCTGACTGTCAGACACTTAACCGTGTCTGATCTGACTTGTGTGCTGTTTTTCATTTTCCTTTTCTCCTTTTCTCCCACGCCCTTGTTCCCCCAGCTCCCCCTGTTCACCTCGCTCTGTTCCGACACCTCCTGGGCCGTGCGAGTGGCGTGTGCAGAGGGCATAGTGGCAGTGGCAGAGGCTGCTGTTGCTCTCGCGCCGAAGGCTACCTCTGCTGGTTCTGACGGCCGCGGCACTGGCAGTGGTGGCAGCAGTGTTGCTAGCAGCAACGGCAGCAGTGGCAGTGATGGGAGCGTGGGCAGCCAGGGAAGCAGCAGCAGTAGCAGCAGCGGTGGCAGCAGCGGGAGCAGCAGGAGCAGTGGGAGTAGTGGCAGCAGCGGGAGAAGTGGGGATAGTGGGAGTGAGAGTGTGAGAGGCGAGCTTATGGAAGAATTACAGTTGGGAGAGGAGAGGGACACTCAGGCAGCAGCAGGTCTGGGAGGAGCAGCGGCTGCAGCAGGGGGAGTGGGATTAGCAGGAGGAGGTGAAGGAACAGGGGCCGTGGCAGCTGCTGCAGGTGAGGTGGAGAGTGCAAACGCTGCAGCACAGGGGCTTGAAGCTGCAAGAGAAGCTGCACCTGCTACTGAGGAAGTCGGTATGGGGGATGTGGGGCTCGCAGGAGAGTCAAGGGTGCAGGGTGGTGGGATGGTGTCTGGAGCGGTGCGGCACGGTGGAATGGGGTCTGAGAGTTGGGGGGAGATTGAAGAAGTGCGGGAGATTAGTGAGGAAGCGGGAGACCATGAAGTGAGCTCGCTTGCAGCTGTGAGGGAGTGTGGAGTAGAGGAGGAAAATGGGGAGGGGGGAAGTGGGGTGATTGGGCGGGAGGAGGAGGGTGGTGGAGAGGAGTGGGGCAAGGGTGTGGAGGAGGAGGAGGAGGTGTCACGAGTGAGGCGGCGGACTCAGCTCATAGGGGAGCTCATGGGCCGACTGGCGAATGATGTAAGCGTGGTGCGGTGTGGTGTGGTGTGGTGTGGTTTGGATTGAATGATGTGGTAACTGGACTGGAACTCCAATCTTTTCACCTCGAGTTGGAGTAGCCTTTCCCCGTGCCCACTTTTCCTGTGTTCACACCACACCCTACACTAATTTTTGAGGCGCCTCAAAAATCTTTTCCTGTGTTCACACCACACCCTACACTTCTAATCATACACCTCATCCCCTCTCCCCCCACCCCGCCCCGCCCCACACCCCACGGGCAGCCATCAGCGTGGGTGCGGGAGGCAGCTCTTCAAATGCTGGGGCCGCTGCTGTCCGTGCTGCGAGGCGCTGACATGCGGGTGAGAGCAGGGAGGGATGCCAGGACGGGTGGAAAACGTGGACACCATATAGGAAGAAAAGCCTTGGTTTGCTACTGCTGTATCACTATACCTCCCTTGTTCATTTCATTTCTTGCAAATCCCCCTCGTGTTTCCCATTTCTACGTTTCCTCGCATTGCCTTTCCTCTCGGACCCCACCTTGCCATTGCGGGGAGGGTGATGTCCCTCGTCTGCCTGCATGCATGCCATGCATGCCATTCTCGACTTTTGAGTCGACTCAAAAGTCAACTCCTCCTGCAAGCATCCAATGCAAGTTTCCAGATGCCCATTCATCCAAGCCCTGCTCTTCCACCCTAGCTGCTCCTCTCCTCGCCCCTCCACGCCCCTCCCCAGCGCCCACTGCGTGCTCTCCCATGTTTCCTCAACTCATTCTTCCCACCCACCACACCCTCTCACGCCGCTTCACACCCCTTCACACAGTTTCACACCCATCCACACCGCTTCACACCCCTACACACCCCTCCCCACCGCTCTCATCCAGGACCTGGTGCACATGTTTACGAGCATGGCACAGCCAGTGCCCATGGGTGATGATGGCGATGGCGATGCAGACGATGACCGCCTGCCGCTCTACTGCGCCTTCAACTTCCCAGGTGGGAGTAACAGCTGGGCTTGACATGAAGCACAGTTTGCCCTTAGTTTCTGAGCGACGAGGTACTGCCCTGGCATGCTGTTTGGATGACATGACAGTGCCCATGGGCGATGGTGGCGATGACATGATAGGGCCACCAGTGCCCGTGGGCCATGGTGGCGATGCCGATGCTGACAATGATGACCGCCTGCCGCTTCACTGCGCCTTCAACTTCCCACGTGGGAACAGCGTTGCTAGCAGCAACAGGTGGGATTGTTTGTTAGAATGTGCCTCCCATCCCAGGCGCGAGTCGGGGGTAGGGCTTGACATGAGGCTCAGGTTTGCCTTTTTTTTTTTTCTGAGAAATGAGGTACTGGGCTGCCCTGGCATGCTGTTTGGATGGCAGTTTTTCCAAGAAAAAAACGGGTCGACAGTCAACTCGTCACCTCCCTTACACCCTTCCATTCAGCCCTGTGCATTCCCTTCCATTCACTTCTTCTCCTTTCTTTCTTCGTCCCCTTCCCTTCCCTATTCCCCCTTCCCCCTCCCCTTCCCTATCCGCCTTTCCCTCAACCCCCTTTTCCCCCGTCATCTGGCAGCGGTGGTGGTGGGGCTGGGCCCATCGCGCTGGTGGGAGCTGGAGGCAGCATACGGCCACCTGCTCGCCTCACCCCATGTGAGTGACCTCCTCATTGCAGCGAGTCAGTGACCCCCATGTGAGCAGCTGGCATCCCCCCATGCGAACTGAGTAGCAGCCCGCATGCGAACAGTGTCTCGATGCAAGCACTGCTGTCCACATGAGCATGGCGCTGCCCTCATGAGCATGGCGCTGACCTCATGAGCATGGCGCTGACCTCATGAGCATGGCGCTGCCCTCATGAGCATGGCGCTGCCCTCATGAGCATGGCGCTGCCCTCATGAGCATGGCGCTGACCTCATGAGCATGGCGCTGACCTCATGAGCATGGCGCTGCCCTCATGAGCATGGCGCTGCCCTCATGAGCATGGCGCTGCCCTCATGAGCATGGCGCTGACCTCATGAGCATGGCGCTGACCTCATGAGCATGGCGCTGACCTCATGAGCATGGCGCTGACCTCATGAGCATGGCGCTGCCCTCATGAGCATGGCGCTGACCTCATGAGCATGGCGCTGACCTCATGAGCATGGCGCTGACGTCATGAGCATGGCGCTGCCCTCATGAGCATGGCGCTGACCTCATGAGCATGGCGCTGACCTCATGAGCATGGCGCTGACCTCATGAGCATGGCGCTGACCTCATGAGCATGGTGCTGACCTCATGAGCATGGTGCTGACCTCATGAGCATGGCGCTGACCTCATGAGCATGGCGCTACCCTCATCGCCCCACGTGAGTGCATGCTGTCTACCACTCCCCCCTCAACTCTCTCTTGTCAACTCTCTCTTGTCAACTCTCTCTATATCCATCCCTTCCCTCCCCCATTCTTCCTCCCTCGAACCCGTTCCTGCTCTCCTCTCCGCCAATCGCGCCGTGCCAGCTGGCGGTGCGGCGCACGCTGGCGTGTCACGTGCATGAGCTGGCGGGGCTGCTGGGGCCGGCCATAACCGTGCGCTGCCTGCTTCCCGCCCTCCAGGCGCTCGTGTGCGATGAGGACGAGGTGAGAGTGGGGTAAGAGACGGGAGGGGGGAGGGTGTAGGGGGGAGGGAAAAGGGGGTAGGGGTGGCAGGGAAGGGATGCCCGCTGCCCGCTGCCTGCTGCCCGCTGTCTGCTGCCCGCTGCCTGCTGCCTGCTGCCCACTGCCTGCTGCCCGCTGCCCGAGCTAGAGGCGCTGGTGTGTGACGAGGACGAGGTGGGTGTGAGGAGGGATGATGGGGGTTTGGGTGTAAGACGCTGGTGACATGAACTGTTCAACGCTTATCGGAGTTCCTGCCTGCCGATGCCTTCCCCCATCAGGTGCGCATGGCGTTGGTGCCCACATTCACGGCCTTCATGGCGTGTCTGCCCGCCTCCCACCGCCCGCACTGCGCTCGCCTGCTGCCGCGCCTGCTGTGGCGCCAGGGGCTCTCGCCCCAGGAGGTCCACGCTCAGGAGATGGCAGCTCAGCGCGCTGCAGAGGCTGCAGAGGCAGCAGCAATAGCAGCGGCAGCTGCATCAGCAGAGGGCGGAGAGCGAAGGGAGGGAGGAGAGAGAAGTGAAGGTGAGGGGATTGAGGGAGGAGAGGGAGGAGGGGGAAGTGAGGGGGAAGAGGTTTGTGCGTTAGCAGCAGCGCCTGGTGCTGCTGGACGCGCAGAGGGAGTGGGGAAGAGACCAGAGGGACTCGTGATCGCTCCCTTGGACCCGAGTGCGCATGTGGAAAGCTGCCTTGCAGAGAGTCCTGTGGCACCACGACGCCCCTCTGAAGAGGGAATTGTTATAAGTAGTGGTGTGTTACAAGGGGCAAGTGTATATGGCGAGGAGTATGTGGATAGCCCTCGGTACCCACCGCCGCCAAGGAGCCTCGTGGCTGGTTCTGCGGATGGGGCTGCTGCTGAGGGTGGAAGTAGCGCGCGTGACAGTGACGAGAGAGAGGTAAATCCATGTAACAGTAACGAGGGGGAGCGGCTGGAAGTTGGGCAGGGTGGTGAGGGAAAGGAGGCGAGGGAGAAGGTGAGGGAGGAGGCGAGGGAGGAGGCGAGGGAGGAGGCGAGGGAGGAGGCGAGGGAGGAGAGTGGTGGGCTGTGGGCGAAGATTGTGAGTGGGCTGGGTGGCCTTGGGACAGGCGGTTGGCTGGGGGAGGTGGCATTTGGGGGAGGCGTGGAGGGTAAGGGAGGGGAGGTGGCATCTGGAGGAGCAGGTGTGGATGGCGGTGGAGAGGAGGTGGGCCGTGAGTGTGCAGGGGGGGATGTGGAGGGGAGTGAGGGGCGTGGTGATGATAGTTTGAATGAGGGGAGTGAGGGGCGTGGGGATGATAGTGTGAATGAGGGGAGTGAGGGGCGTGGTGATGATAGTTTGAATGAGGGGAGTGAGAGCAGTAGTACTAGTGGTGATGGTGTGATTGAGGGTAGTGTGAGCAATGAAAATAGGTTGAGCGAGGGGAGTGGGAGAGGGAACGAGAGGAACGGGGCAGAGGGAGAAGAAGGAGCAGTGGGGACAGAAAGGGCAAATGGGGCAGAGGGGGCAAATGGGGCAGAGGGGGCAGAGGCAGCAGAAGAAGCGGAGAGGAAAGTGCAGGGGTCGCAGGCTGAGTTGAGAGGGGACCAGGGGGAGCTTGAGGGGGACGAATGCAGGGAGGACGACAGATCTATGGGAGAGGAAGGAAGTCAGAGAAGGGAGCAGGAACAAGGCAACAGGGAAGAGAGGAATGAAGGAGGAAGAGAAGGGAAGGATGTGGAGGAGGGACCAAATCATGATATTCCCACGGGGAAGCTCGAGGAGTCTAACCAGTCTACCAGTAACTTCCATCAGCTGTTGCAGCAGCAACCCGCCAGCAGCAGCAGTCAGCAGCCGTTGGAACAGCACCTTAGCAGCAGCAGCGATCAACAGCAGCTGCACCAGCAACCCACCAGCAGCGGCCAGCAGGGCGGCGAGTATCGTCTGCAGGTGCAGGTGGGCACGCCGGCGCCCAACACAGTGCGCATCCACGTGGCGGCAGCGGATTCGCCGAGGCCGCTGGTGCTGGGCGGCAGCAACCCGAGTGTGCAGGTGCAGCTGAGGGCGCTCCCCAGCCGCAACCGCGTGCGCCCGCAGATGCGTGTGGCCGGCCGGGAGAGCTCCTGGCACCTGCGCCTCGCTGCTCTCAGGTGGGCGGCTGTACTCCTGGATGTAGAATTGGGGTGAGGACGATGCACGCACCAGCAGGTGGGCTGTGTTGGCAGCAACCCGATTGTGGCCGGCCGAGAGAGCAGCTGGCACATGCACCTTGCTGCTCTCAGGTGGGCGGCTGTATAGCTGGTCAGGTTGTTGCCTGACCTCACAGTTGGGAAATCCCTGCTAGGAAATAGAGAGGTAGTGCACCCTGTGTTGGCAGCAGGTGGCACCTCCGCCTGGCTGCACTCATGTGAGTACAGTTGCCCATACAGCCAGGGCGGGTGAAACCGTGTAGGCTGTAGCTACAGGGTCCCCACTCACCCGCTTTCCAAACCCGTGGGGCCTCGCTGACTCGCTGACTCCACTCAGGAAACGGAGGACACATGGCTGCACTCCCTGTTCACTGGACTTGGTGTACCTTCTCTCCTCCCTACCATCTCCGTCTACTTTTTTCTCACTCTCTCTTCTCCTCTCTCTCTCCCCCTCTCTCCCCCTCTTCCCCTGTCTTCCCCCCTCCCCACCACCCCAGCCAAGCATCAGGAGTGGCGCAGTTGCTGCCACCCAACAGCGCCGCCCTACCTTTCCTCATCGACCTCGCTCTCTCCCTCTGCAGGTGCAAACTGATGCAGGTGGTATCTGTTTCAGGTCACATCGGATGCAGGTGGTATCTGTTTCAGGTCACCTAGGATGCAGGTGGTATCTGTTTCAGGTCACATCGGATGCAGGTAGTCGCCACGACGAGTAGCAACCCAGTGTGAGTTATGAGTGCAGGTGGTAGCTGGTTCAGGTCACAACTGCTGCTGGTAGCAGCCAGGACACGAAGTAACCCAGTGAGGATTACAAGCGCAGTAGACAACTGGTGCAGTTGACAACTGGTGCAGGTGACAACTGGTGCAGGTGACAAGCAGTGCAGGTGCCAACCAGTGCAGGTGCCAACCAGTGCAGGTGACAACCAGTGCAGGTGACAACCAGTGCAGGTGACAACCAGTGCAGGTGACAACCAGTGCAGGTGACAACCAGTGCAGGTGACAACCGGTCCAACTGAAAAGCACTGCTCCTCTACCCGCACTACTCCCTCATCGCTACTCTGCTTTTTTCTCCCACCCTCATCCTTGCTTCTTTCTCATTTCCTCCCACCCTCCCCCATGACCACTGTTCACGCGCATGCCCTGCATGCATGCAGGGATCGGATCGCTACCGTCCGGGAGGAGGCAGCCAGACAGGTGAGAAGAGGAGGGGGGAGGGGGCACTGGGCTCCTATAGAAGGATGGGGTTACGGCTACGGTTACAGTTATGGTTACGGTTTGCATGCTGTGTACCCCATCCTTCTTACGGTTACGCGAGCTATGCTGGCCGCTCTGCATGAGTCTGTGCTTGGGGCTTTTCTCGAAGTTTCTGCTCTGACTTCCTCCCTCTTTGATCCCACACCTCGCTTTCATGTCTTTCCCCCTTGCCTTTCGTTTCGTCTTTCATTCCCCCTTCCTTCTTCCTCATATTTGGACCACCACCCACCCACTTGTTTTGTTTCACCCACATTCCTCGCCCCTCCCTCGCCTTACTCTCTTCAGGCTGCCAAGTTGCTGACCCTCACTACCCTGTCCGCTGCCACGTCAGCATCATTGCAAGCAGCCACATCAGTGTCATCAGCACCTGCCACGTCAGCATCATTGCAAGCAGCCACATCAGTGTCATCAGCACCTGCCACGTCAGCATGCCACTCGTCGCTGACAAACGAACCAGCACTTGATGCCACGTCAGCAAGACGAGGGTTGAAAGAGCATGCAGAATGTGTTACTTCATGTGCATCTGCCACGTGCGATCCCGTTGAGTCGTTATCTGCTGAACCTAAGTCTACTGGCTCCTCTTGTGCCGAGCCTCTTGCCGCTGACTTGTATGTTTCCGAGCCTCGCGGTGGACCAGGCAGCAGCAGCACAGTGCATGGAGAGGGGGAAGCAAGGGGCGGGGGTGGGGGGAGCATTAGCCAGGAGAGTAATAGTGGGAAGAGCAAGGGCAGAAGCGCGGAGGGGGGTGAGGAGGACGGGGTGAGTGAACATGCTCTGTCCACTGGCACCAGGGACGGTCACTATTACGATCACCAGCATGCTTCTGCTGCCACTCCTCACTCCACCAATACGGTTGCAGTGAGCCCTGATGACGCTGCTGAGGACCCCCATGATGATTCTGTGAAGGGCGTTCATCCCCACCCTGCCGCTCACCCGGGAGGAGCCCGGCCATCGCGATCCCCTCCCCCCCCTGACTCAGATGCATCTGCCTCCCAGTCTCTCCTCTCTGCCTTGGCTGCTCTCGCCTCCAGTCGCAATTTCCGCGACCGACAAACGTACGTCTCTCTCCCATTCCCCTTCCTCCTCTCTACTCGGCTCCCTCCTATCCCCTCACTCCCCTCATCGATGACCCCCCTTGTTTCCCCTCGTCTCTTCTTTCCATCAATCTTGATCTCGATTTCTGGCTTTACCGTAGCGTTTGCATATGTTCATGTACACGTATGAACGTATAACCTTGTCTTATAGAGGCTATGAGCTAATTTAGTTGACGCGCATCTGCGCTATAGCCATATTTGATCATCCTTCCCCCCATTCCGAACCTGTCAAACCTATTCGCAGGTTCGGCATAGCCTGTACGGAGCTGCTGGACTGCATCCGGCCAACCCTGGCAGCGCCTCTCCTTGCCTCGCCAGCGCACTCCTTTCCTCCTGCCACCACACACACACACCCCTCCGCACACACGCCCTCCTCTCCTCCCATAGCCCTCCCCTGTCAGCCCAACTCACATCTCCACGCATTTGCCTTCCTCCTCTCCACCGTCCTCCCTCTCCTCCTCCCGCTCGTCTATGTAAGCCTGCTCCCATCTCAAACCCATCCTGCCTTGCTCTTAGTGCTGAAATTGGTTCATCCTTCCTAGTGTTGGTTGGATGTCCCAAAAACGCCTGTGATCATTCCCGGGTTCTAGACCTCGATCTCACATTTTAGACACTCCTATTGGTTCGCAGGCCAATAGCGTTTTCACCCCCAACCAACCTTCCTAAGGTTGAACTTCTTGGCCCGTGGGTTTTAACTCTCTTTTCTCTTACACTGCCATTCTGTGTCTCTGCTCTTACGCTTCTTTACCTGCCTTTCATCTTCATTCTACCCCCCTCCTCTTGTGCCTACCCATCCCACTGTCTCCCCACAGGACAACGTGCCAAATGTCAGAATACGAGTGGCCGAGGCCCTCTCTGCCGCTTGGCCCATTCTTGACACCCTCACTGTCCCAGACACGTCAGCAACAACTGGCACAGCGCCAGCAGCAGCAGCAGCAGCAATAGCACTCCCACACTTACCTGAACCAGCAGCAGCAGCAGCGATGAAATCAGATGAAGAGTCACATTTTGCATCAATGTCACAACCACCTTCTTTAGGGTCAGTGCTACTAGAGCACACGTGCCTCTCAGCATCGCAGTCGCGGTTGGACGAGCTGCGTGCGTCAGTGGCGTCAGCCCTTGCCCTGCTGGAGGGCGACGAGGATGCTGACGTGGCATGGACCGCTCTGGCTAGAGTGCCGTCTCCCCACGGGGATGGGCGTGGAGATGCCATGGGCTCGTATTCGGTTGCCCAGCTCCATCACCATCACAATCATGCAGCCTGAACACGAAGTGACACACCATCATCAGGTTTGAATCTATTCGTACCATAAGCGCCTGTGTAGTATACCGCAGGTCCTGAACATACCTAGTCCAAAACCTTATAACACACAGGTTGGTTGGTGCTGCTGGCATTGCCAAGACTCTTGAGTCAACCGCTAAAAACAAGCAAACAGACATTTATGATCTGGTCTGTCAAAGCCCAACCATCACATTGTGCCGAACGTCACAGTTCTTGAATGGCATCTGTTGGGTATAACTGAAGTGTGTTCACGAGGCAGAAGTATTTCGAGATCATGCAAGTTCGTTCGCATTTGTAGCAGTGCGCAGCTAGCGGGTGTTTTTTTTAACCTTTTGTGAACACCCAATCATTTTATTTAAGAACTAAAAGAAGCACCCTAGGGCCTAGGGTGATTTATTCAGTGGAGTTGAAGTGGGAGACTGGATTATTTTGAGGTGCCTCAAAGACAGAGTTGACTATGGCTGCCATAGCTTGAGGGTGCAATCTTCGCTGTAGGTTGCAATGAGGTTGCGATGGGGATGGTGGGTGATGCCTATGACATCCTTGTCATGCACCTGCTCACATGCGCACACATGATGGACGCATGCACACACATGCACATGCACATACATGCCCACACATGGGTACGAAGTGAAGTTAGTGATAAGTCTCAACAAGAAATTCATCACATGAATGTGCAGAGGTGAATGCTTCTCGATGCTGTGGGTGCCACGCAATGCTTTGCACACACAAAGAGAGAACCACACCTTCATGAGATGCTCTAGCTTGCCACTCTGAAAGCTGAAGCAGTACATGTTGCTGCAGGGGGGAGCAGAGAGCATGAGAGGGGAGAAAAGGGGAGAGAAGGTGAAATAGGACAGTGAGGGAGTGACAACGGCGGGGGGGATTAAGTGCAGAGTGGGAGTGCTGTGCAGAGCCGGAGTGCAGTGCAGAAGGGAGAATGGGTGAGGAGAGTGGAGTGATAAAGGATTGGTGCGAGTTGCCGTGTCCACCACACCCCAGCAAGCAGTCACTGTGCTCCTTGATGACTTGTCGTTGCCTGATGAACCTTAGCCAGCACTCACACACTCTCGCCCATGCAGTGAAAGCGTTATGTGAATCCGGTTCGACTCAAGCACCGCCACATCCTCGCCCATACAGTAGAGATACACACTAGCCTTGCGAGGGAGGCAGGGGGAGAGGCAGCAGTGCACACACCCACCAGCCAGTGCACTCCACACCATGGGCACCGGTGCACATTGGTACACATGGGTGCACATTGGTACACATGGGTGCACATTGGTACACATGGGTGCACATTGGTACACATGGGTGCACATTGGTACACATGGGTGCACATTGGTACACATTGGTACACATTGGTGCACACACCATGCCACCACTCACGCATCCTTGCCCATGCAATAGATCCACTCGCCCTTGGGGGACAGGCACGGGGGGGAGCAGCAGCACTCACACCCACCACACACAGTGCACTCGTGTGCAGTCAAAGTCAGCACTTGTGTGCATTCAAATCAAGTCAGCACTCGTGTGCAGTCAAATCAAGTCAGCACTCGTGTGCAGTCAAATCAAGTCAGCACTCGTGTGCAGTCAAATCAAGTCAGCACTTGTGTGCAGTCAAATCAAGTCAGCACTCGTGTCCAGTCAAATCAAGTCAGCACTCGTGTGCAGTCAAATCAAGTCAGCACTCGTGTGCAGTCAAATCAAGTCAGCACTCGTGTGCAGTCAAATCAAGTCAGCACTCGTGTGCAGTCAAATCAAGTCAGCACTCGTGTGCAGTCAAATCAAGTCAGCACTCGTGTGCAGTCAAATCAAGTCAGCACTCGTGTGCAGTCAAATCAAGTCAGCACTCGTGTGCAGTCAAATCAAGTCAGCAATCGTGTGCAGTCAAATCAAGTCAGCAATCGTGTGCAGTCAAATCAAGTCAGCACTCGTGTGCAATGCAGTGACGAAGGCACTCACGCATCCTCGCCCATGCAGTAGATCCAGTCGCCCTTGGGGGACAGGCACGCCGCCACAAAGTCACCGCCCTCCCTCTTGCCTGATGTGAAGCTCCGCACCACCTGATGAGAGCATGGATGCATGGATGCATGGGTGCATGGGTGTATGGTACATGGGTACATGGGTGCATGGGAGGTAGCATGGGAGGTATGGGGTAGGATGGGAGGTATGGGGTAGGATGGAGGTATGGGGTAGCATGGGAGGTATGGGGTAGCATGGGAGGTATGGGGTAGCAAGGGAGGTATGGGGTAGCATGGGAGGTATGGGGTAGCATGGGAGGTATAGGGTAGCATGGGAGGTACGGGGTAGCATGGGAGGTATGGGGTAGCATGGGGAATAACCTTCTGTAACATGGCAGAGAATCAAAATCACCGCCCTCCCTCTTGCCTGATGTGAAAATACGAACCACATGATACATGCATGGGTGCATAGCGTAGGTGAGTGGGTGCAGTGGCGCCCGGGTGGATGGATTAATACAGGCCGATCGGTGCATGGCTGCATGGGTACGGGTGCATGGGTACGGGTGCATGGGTACGGGTGCATGGGTACGGGTGCATGGGTACGGGTGCATGGGTACGGGTGCATGGGTACGGGTGCATGGGTACGGGTGCATGGGTACGGGTGCATGAGGCACAGCATGGCACCCACCGCACCCACCTCCCCCACATTCCACCTCCCTCACACCCACCTGGCCCTGCAGCGTCATGAGAAACACGGAGGAGGAGCGGTTGCACACAAACACATGGTCCACGTTGCGGGGAGAGAGGAGCACCGAATTCACTGACGCGTCGCCGCCCTGGAATGGGAAAAAAACGAGGAAAAAAGGAAGATGGAGAACGGGCGGTGGCGCACTATCACATCACATGGCCGACGTTGGGGGGGGAGAGGAGCACCGAGTTCACTGACGCGTCTCCGCCCTGCAGGGGAACAAAAACGAGGAAGAAGGGAAGATGGAAGATGGAGGAGGAGCGGTTGCACACAACCACATGGTCGACGTTGCGGGGAAGGGGGGGAGAGGAGCACTGTGATGTGATGATGACTGACGCGTCTCCGCCGTGCAGAGGAAAGAAACGGTGCAGCACATGCAAGAGACAGAGAGACAGAGCTGTAGAGATGGAGGCTAGAGGGGAGGACGTAGATGAGTGATACGATACGTTTGCAAGCTCTAGGGAAACAAAGGGTGGGCAGGAGGGACTGGAGTGCGGATCAACGATGGGGAACGGGAATGCGTGGAGGAAAGAATTGAGTCGATTTTTTAGACAAATGTTTTGACTTCGAGTCAACTGCAGAAGGTGGGCACAGAGGGACTGGAGTGCAGCTGAACGATGGGGCAGGAGTGTTGTAATTTCATATTTTATACAACATACATAGGCTAGACTTGAATATGTAGCACATTCATAAATTGGGGGGTTGTTCAGTGTACCTTCCAACCACATTTTGTGGTTGGTTGGGATTGGTCCTTAGCTCAACCGATCCCAACCAACACACATTTGTGGTTGCTTGGGCCACAAGCAAGCTCACCCATTGGCCAACTTATTGGCCAATAGGGTAAGCTTCCCTCTCATCTCTCTCTTGCTCATTGTTTGTACTAAAGGGCCTCTTGGCTCATTATTCAATGCATCACTTCTATCTTTTCAACAAGGAGAATGAGTAAACGGACGGATTGAGGGTCAGGGCTGGATAGGGCTGATCAGGGGGAACGGGGACAGGCAGGGCTGAGAGGGCGTGACAGGGATAGGCAGGGCCGCATGGGAGGCGACTCACTCGGAGGGGTGGTGGCGGCTTGAACGTGTGCAAGCACTCGAGTGACTTGACGTCCCACACCTGGTTGGGTTAGGGGTGAGGATGGGTGGGAAGAGGTGGGGAGGGACGAGGGGGTGAGGAGGAGAGGTGGGGAGGGATTGGGACAGATGAGTGTTTAATCGAGTATTGAGGTTAGTGTAGTTGAGGATTCAAAGTCCACACGCACCCATCCTCACTCACGCTCTCGCTGGTGCAGCACCATTTTCCCTCACATGACACACACTCGGCACTGCACCTCATATCAACGCACTGCACCTCATATCAACGCACTGCACCTCACATCACCTTGACAGAGCCATCGGAGGAGGCAGTGATAACACGACCACCATCAGCAGAATATAGAGCATCGTTGACGAAAGAGGTGTGCCCTCGAAACTCCTTGAGGGTCTTCCCTGACTTGAGCCCGTGCACCCTGCACACCGGGCGCACGAGGGAAAGCGAGCATGAAAGAGAGGGAGAGCATGAAACAGAGGGAGAGCATGAAATAGAGGGAGGGCATGAAACAGAGGGAGAGCATGAAAGAGAGAGAGAGCATGAAACAGAGGGAGGGCATGAGTTCGACATGGCAACATGGCGAGCATCAGAATAGACAGCACCGTTGACAAAAGACATGTGCCCCTCGGAACTCCTTGAGACAGGGGTTTCGCCTGACTTGAGCCCGTGCGTGCACCCTGGGGAAGTAAGCCAGAGGGAGAGAGCGTGAAATATGGATGATAACACAACTGAAGTTACCACGGAAGACAGCAATACGGGGCGCCATACCTGGCGGTGCCATCAAAGGAGGCGCTGAGCAGGTGACTGCCATCCCGAGAGAACGCCACCGAGGTGACTCCCTGTGAGTGCGCCTTGTCAAAGCGCCTCAGACACTGCCCTGTGCGCACCCGCCACACCTGTTAGCGGTGGAGAGAAGGGGGTGGAGAGAGGAGGGCGTGAGGGATGCGTGTTGCGAGGGACAAGAAGGGGCCGTGCATTACCATGGCATCGGGATGCCTGCCACCATGGCACATGCCACCATGGCACATGCCACCATGGCACATGCCGCAAGGAACATGGACCACGCACCATGCACCACGCACCACACATCAAGCACCATGCACCATGCACCACGCACCACGCACCATGCACCATGCACCATGCACCATGCACCCAGCCCGCGCGCCAGTCACCTTGATCTTGCCATGCTGAGACCCCGAGGCAAGCAGCAAAGCAATGCAACAGGGAGCAATGAGCATGCTCCATTCACCCAACCCAACCCAACCCCAGCAAGCTGGTCACCTTGATTTTGCCGTCCTGTGACCCCGAGGCCAGCATCTCCGAGTCCCGGCTCCACCCCACACACAGCACTGCCTCCTCATGCATCATGAACGTTGCCTGGACGGTGGGGTGGCGTGGGGTGGGGTGGGGTGGGGTGGAGTGGGATGTGGAAGGTTGGTTGATGCACACACACAGCGCACTCTGGCACACAGCACCGCCTCCTCATGCATCATGAACGTCGCCTGGAGGGTGGGGTGTGGTGGCGTGGGATGGGGTGGGGTGGGGTGGGATGAGATGGCTACTGGCAGGTAGGCTGCTGATGCACACGGCACTGCCTCCTCGTGTATCATGAACGCTGCCTGGGGGAGGGGTGGCAGGGAGGGGGGGCAGGAACACATTAAGATGACATGCTAAACCAGTCCACCCCACACACAGCACTGCCTCCTCGTGTATCATGAACGTCGCCTGGGGGTGGGACGGGGTGGGGCGGGGTGGGACGGGGTGGGGTGGTTGATTGTAAGCAAGAGCCAGACTGCTGATGCACGCAGCACTGGGCACACCCATGCCATCACCCATTCAACCATCCATGCAACCAACCACCACTACTTGACGCTACAGGTGTTTCCAGCCTTCATGCCATGCTAGCACGCACATGGCCACACAGCCACCCACCTCTGCTTGGTACTGCAGGTCCTTCTTGAGCTTGCCTGAGAGGAAGTCCCATACCTGCCCATGCATGCACGCATGGGGATAGTGCGGGAGCAGGGGAGGGGGGGCGGCAGGCACCAAGGCAATTAGGGGATTGAAACAGCAGCTTCATGGAGGTTCATGGAGGTTCATGGATCTAAATGAAGCTTCCGGAAAGAGGTGAAGATAAAGCAAGGCATGGGTTGGGAAAGGAAATAAATAGAGAACAGAGCACAGCGGTGACGGCATGGACGTGAGCACTGGGCGGTGAGCACTGTGAGCACTGGCGGTGAGCACTGGCGGTGAGCACTGGCGGTGAGCACTGGCGGTGAGCACTGGCGGTGAGCACTGGCGGTGAGCACTGGCGGTGAGCACTGGCGGTGAGCACTGGCGGTGAGCACTGGCGGTGAGCACTGGCGGTGAGCACTGGCGGTGAGCACTGGCGGTGAGCACTGGCGGTGAGCACTGGCGGTGAGCACTGGCGGTGAGCACTGGCGGTGAGCACTGGCGGTGAGCACTGGCGGTGAGCACTGGCGGTGAGCACTGGCGGTGAGCACTGGCGGTGAGCACTGGCGGTGAGCACTGGCGGTGAGCACTGGCGGTGAGCACTGGCGGTGAGCACTGGCGGTGAGCACTGGCGGTGAGCACTGGCGGTGAGCACTGGCGGTGAGCACTGGCGGTGAGCACTGGCGGTGAGCACTGGCGGTGAGCACTGGCGGTGAGCACTGGCGGTGAGCACTGGCGGTGAGCACTGGCGGTGAGCACTGGCGGTGAGCACTGGCGGTGAGCACTGGCGGTGAGCACTGGCGGTGAGCACTGGCGGTGAGCACTGGCGGTGAGCACTGGCGGTGAGCACTGGCGGTGAGCACTGGCGGTGAGCACTGGCGGTGAGCACTGGCGGTGAGCACTGGCGGTGAGCACTGGCGGTGAGCACTGGCGGTGAGCACTGGCGGTGAGCACTGGCGGTGAGCACTGGCGGTGAGCACTGGCGGTGAGCACTGGCGGTGAGCACTGGCGGTGAGCACTGGCGGTGAGCACTGGCGGTGAGCACTGGCGGTGAGCACTGGCGGTGAGCACTGGCGGTGAGCACTGGCGGTGAGCACTGGCGGTGAGCACTGGCGGTGAGCACTGGCGGTGAGCACTGGCGGTGAGCACTGGCGGTGAGCACTGGCGGTGAGCACTGGCGGTGAGCACTGGCGGTGAGCACTGGCGGTGAGCACTGGCGGTGAGCACTGGCGGTGAGCACTGGCGGTGAGCACTGGCGGTGAGCACTGGCGGTGAGCACTGGCGGTGAGCACTGGCGGTGAGCACTGGCGGTGAGCACTGGCGGTGAGCACTGGCGGTGAGCACTGGCGGTGAGGGCCTGGACGCAATGAGACAGTTCTTAGGTGCCTAGAACAAATGAAATGTGCCAGAGCATTAGTGGGGGAGGGCCTAGTGGAGTGGCCCGCAATGCACTTTTGCATGAAACCAATGAATCACGGCAACTGCAAGCTCAGCGCCCGTTCTCACCGTACTGCACCCACTCTAACTGCATTGCATCCACGCACACCTCGATAAATCCATCGATGGAGGAGGACGCAAGGCACTGGCCGTCAGGAGCAAAGCGAGCCGATTCGGGATGACTCTTTTTTCCAAACTGCATGAGGCGAGGGAGGAGAAGGAGAGAGGAAGGGTGGCGCAGGCAGAGATAAGGAACCGAAATGGAGGGAAGAGTGTGTGGTGGTGGGTGGGATGGGCCAGCAAAACGAGGGAGAAAAGTAGGTAGAAGCAGGCGAGGTGATTCAAGGCGGTTTTTCTTTCAAAGTGAGTTGAGATGAGAGTGGTTGGATGAGAACCAAGCAAGCGGACTCGTGAAGAAACACGAGGGGAACATGTGGGAGGACGGAATAACCTTGGCACAACTCCTGCTGCAGGTCAACTCCTGCTGCAGGTCAACTCCTGCTGCAAGTCAACTCCTGCTGCAAGTCAACTCCTGCTGCAAGTCAACTCCTGCTGCAAGTCAACTCCTGCTGCAGGTCAAAACCGTTTCTGCTCACCTCGATGGTATGCAAGAGTTGTGTGGGTGGGGTACACCTCGTTCGTTTTTAGGAGTCCTTAAAAAACTTTTGGAGCTCTTGTTGCTCGGCCCGGGTCAAGCCACTTCTTCTCACCTTGATGGTGTGCAGGAGCTGTGTGGGGTATGCCTCATCCTCATCCGCCTTCACTGCTGCTGTTCCTCGGAACAGATCAAACTGCGTGCCGGGGGGAAGCAGACCTGCATGCATGCATGCACGGGAACAGAGACATTGCTTCTTCAGACGTCTCACAAGTCGTCCTCCTCTGCAGCCTTCACTGCTGCTGTCCCTCTCCTCGGAAGAGATCAAACTGGCATGTGCATGGCACAAGGCAAATGGTAGCAGCAGGAGCATGATTTATGTACATGGCGACAGGGGCATGGCACAGGCATTGTCACACAAGAAGCATGTCACAAGGACGGAGAGGAACAGCGGACCTTGGTGCTGATGCCACTTAGCACCTGTCGTAACAGCACAATGAGGTGCGAGGGGGGCACCAGTGTGAGAGTGAGAAGAGGAATATGGTATAAGCAGTGGAAAGAGGGCGGCATGGTACAATGACAGAGACAGCTGACCTTGGTGCTGCTGCCACTTGAGCGCCTGGCCTAGCAGCACCATGAGACGCGAGGGGGGCACCACAGTCACCTCCTGCGATAGGCCTGGTGGTGCATGGGTAGATGGGATGGGGAGATGGGCAGGTGGGCAGGTGGGCAGGTTGTCACCAAATATAATGGTAAGAGCATCATATTGGAGACATATGCTAATTGGGTGTAGAAGTGGTGTAGCGAGTGTTATTCAATCTGCATGTGGGGTAGTTGGGTTATAGAGAGTAGCGAGAAGTTGGTAGCACTGGGGGTTACAGGGCGCTTCGGGGACAATTTCAGGAACCTTGGGAGACAGGCAATCTGGCGAGGGCCACTCCAAGGCCTAGGCGGCTCGAGCTCAACCCAGCACGCTGAGTTACTCGCGACTGGGCAGCCAAGCACAAATAGCCTAGCCTAGCATAGCAAACCTGTTCTCTCGTCTTGTTTGCCTCATATAGTGGATAACGTTACCGCAACAAGGCTACGCTAGCTAGGTGACTACGCCACTGTGGGCAGCCATCGTGTGGGAGAGTAAACTTCTCACAAGACGAGAGAAGCAGATAGGCAGTATGGACTGCCATGAGCTGCGGTGGCAGCGGACGTACTCGCGGCGGGAGATACCGCCGTCGCGAAGGATGCGCTCAAAGGAGCGGGGAAGATCGCCAGGTCGCTCGCCTAGCAGAGAGGCGGATCGGGCGGATTGGATGGCGACCAGTGACGGACTGCACGGTGAAGGCGAGCTCGGTCTGCAGATGAGATGGCCGCCAGGACCCTTTTGAGTCGACTCAAAAGCGAGCTCGGTCTGCAGATGAGATGGGCGCCAGGACCCCAGCCGTCGAAGAGCGATCCCTGGGATCCCTGGGAGCCGTCGAAGAGCGATCCCTGGGATCTGGGATCTGGGATCTGGGATCTGGGATCTGGGATCTGGGATCTGGCAAGAGGCCAGCGGGGCGCGGGAGTAAGGCGTCAGGAGGATGCCGATGAGACGGACTCGCTGATGTTGGCAAAGGAGGCCGACGGCGAGGAGTTGGCGGAGGATGATCCCATGGACGAGGAAGAAGATCACTCGCTGGGCGACATGCGCAAGGCAGGCGAGAGGCGTCGTGGAGAAAAACGTGAAGAACGCGGAGAGGCGACGGGATTAAATCGCTCGACAGACGAAGTGTGTGGGAGTGGCGCAAGGTGACGCGGGAGCGCGGAGGCAGATGGCGCGACCGACGAAATGGGTGGGGGCGGCACGAAACGCCAGGGGAACCGCGCGGAGGCAGATCGCGCGCCAGAGGAGGTGCGCGGGAGTCAAGCGAGGCGCAGCAGAGCAAAGCAGCTGAGCCCTGGTCAAGGGAGCGAGGGGAGGAGGAGAAGAGGCGTGCTGCACCAGCAGGAGTGTATCGTTCGCCCGAGCCAGGACAAGGCCGTGCGGGCAGGAGGCGTATGGCGATGGGAGAAGGGAGATCGCTGGAATGGTCAGAAGAGGAGGAGGACGAGGATTACGAAGGAAAGCGCGTTCAGCACTCGCCAGCAAGGAGGCGGCGGCCAGCGGAGAAGGCGCGAGGCAGGGGTAGCATACGATCGCCACCCAGCGCCTCAAGGGAACAGGCGGGAGCGCGCCGTGAGAAAGCAGAAGAACACCTGTGGGCAGAGAGAAGGGCTGCAAAGGAAACAAGCGAAGAAGCAAGAAGGTGGCCCGAGAGAGAGAGCCGTGAGAGGAGGGGCGAAGGAGAGCGATACCAAGGGGGTGAAGAGGCAGGAAGAAAAGGGGAAACGGGGAAACGGGGAAACGGGATCAGGAACGCCGAGGCTGGGAAGAGTGCGGAGATTATGAGGAAAGAGACAGGTGGGACTCACCGGAAAGAGGAAGGGAGTGGAGGCGCGAGGAGGACTGGCGAGGCAAGAGAGAAGGTGTGCGGACACCAGAAGTCTTGAGGGCAGCAGAGAAGGAGCGACAGCGAGAGGACAGAGTGCGGCAGTACCAGGAGCGGTCCCCTGCAAGGGGAGAGAAGCGTCAGGAAGATGCAGAGAGGCGCAGGGGGGAGCGAGAAGATGCCCGAGGGAGGAGCCCGATGGGCCCGAGGAGGCCGGGGCGTCACGGCGTAGGATCTGCTGGAGCAAGAGCAGCTAGGGAGGGAATAGAGCGAGTGCTGTATGGAACCAGCACGGGCAGCAGGGGAGAAAGGGAAAGGAGGAGAGGGGTTATGATGTCTGAGCAAGGAGGGACGGAGAGCTGGGAAACAGGGAAGTGGGGGGCAACAGCACAGCCGCGAGTGGAGGTGCCAGTACGCTTCACGGGAAACGAGAAAACCGGCCCAAGTCTGAAGAACTATTTGATGCAGATCAGCAATGTTAAATACCGATGTGACAGAAGCGGGATGGACCCGATTGAGTTTTTTCTGAACCTGCCAAGCACGTTGGGAGGGGAAGCAGAGACTTTGTATCGCATGAAGATGGGTGAATGGCTGTGGAGGGCAGAAGAGGATGACGAGGACCCGACGGTACTGTTCCTGGAGCGACTAAGGAAGCAGTTCCCTGGGCATACGGCAGCGCGCATCAGGGAATTCCAGGAGTTTAGGCGGAGGGACGAGGAGTCACTGCTGACATACTACGGACGGTTAATGAACCTGGCGGAAGACGTGGTGTGCACGGACAGCAGCATGGTCATTAGCAAGTTTCTGAATGGTTTAGACAAGGGATTGGCAGGAGGGTTGAGAATGAGAGTCTATGAGCTAGGAGTAGATGCAACACCAGAGGAGGTATTCGAGTTAGCGGAAAGGGTGGAGCTGGCGCAGAGGAAGTATGAGGTATACCTGCCGAGGATGATAGAGAAGAAGAGTCCTACCTGGGCAGCGGCGATGATACCAGGGGAGGGAGCAGGAGAAGAGAGCAGGCCGGAGAAAAGGGCAGAGACACGCACCTGTTACCGGTGTGGACAGCCGGGGCACATAAGGATGCACTGCAGGAACTGCGATGCATGTGGGAAGCCAGGGCACCGCCGAAGGGACTGCCCGGAGGCACCGACATGTAAGGAGTGCGGAGAAAGGGGGCATGAAGCAAGGGGATGCGATAAAGGGGCAGGCGGAACAGAAGGGTCAGCAGAGGAGATGGAGAGCCAGATAAGGCAGTTGCGGGCGCAGCTGCAGGCCCTGGCAGGGAGAAAGAAGAAAGAGGCTGGGCTGTACGCGAGGGAAGAAGGAGCAGAAGAGGAGGAAGGGCAGGAGCCAGAGTACACATGCCTGGCGTTACGTAGCCGTGAGGGACTGGGGCTGCGCAGTGGGGGCAGAGACGGAAGGAAAGGGCGGGAGCTGAGAGGAAGGACAGAGAGGCAGGCGGAGTTGTATGCAAGTGAGGAAGAAGAGAAGGAGGAAGGGGAGCAGGAGCCAGAATATTCCTGTGCCGTGGTGTGTCGCAGTGCTGTGCCGCAGTGACGCCATGCGGCTGCGCTGTGGGGGCAGGGACAGAGGAAAGGAGCGAGCCACGAAGGTGAGGGCATGGGCAGTGGCAGAAGGGGAACAGAAGGACGAGAAAGAGGAGGAGGAAGTGTGTGAATTAGTAGCAGCAGACACTGAAGGTAAGGATGAGAAGGTGAGGGCATGGGCAGCAGCAGAAGGGGAAGAGAAGGACGAGAAGGTGAGGGCATGGGCAGTGGCAGAAGGGGAAGAGAAGGGCGAGGAGAAGGAGGCAGGAGTGTGCGAATTAGTAGCAGCAGACACTGAAGGGAAGGATGAAAAGGTGAGGAAATGGGCAGCAACAGAAGGGGAAGGGAAGAATGAGAGAGAGGGGACCTGGGCGTGCGTACCAGTAGCAGCGGAAGCAGAGGAGAAGGACGAGCAGGTGGGGGCAGGAGTGGGTGTAATGGCAGCAGTAGAAGTAGAGGAGAGGGACGAAGAGGCGGGGGCAAGGGCGTGTGTACCAGCAGCAGAAGAAGCGGAAGGGAAGGGCGAGAAGGAGGGAGCGGTGAAGAAAGGAGGGAAGACGGGGCTGAGCAGTACAGACATGGGAGGGAATGGTTGGCAGCCATCGCTGAAGACAGCAGAGTTGTTCGGGGAAATCGGGGCAGGGGCGAAGACTGGTGTGACGATGAAGGATTGGATGCAAGCGCAGGGAAACAAGCTGGCGGAGCGGCATGTGAGGAAGCTGCGGGGAGGAAGGCCAGAGCTGCTGGGGGAAGCAGAGCGGGAGAGTAAGGAAGTGGGGGCATGGGAGCCCCTAGCAACAGGGGAAAAGGTAGACCATACAATGGAAGAGGCGGAGAACCGGGCGGCATGGGAGCGAGCTAAGGCAGCGGAATACTTGCAGGAGGTGATACCGGTGGCGGTGGACGACCTACATACCGTGCAGTTGAGGGATGCGTGCTGCTGTGAGAAGTGGCAGCAGCAGGAAGGCAAGGGGATAAAGGCGGCTATAGAGGTGGGACGGGAAGAGAGGGGCAAAGAAGGATACACTAGCTGTGGAATAGGGAAGAGTGAAGGGGAGGGCGCAAGCAGTGCGAGGCGTGGGAGTGCTAGTGTTGGAGAAGAAGAAGGGAGAACAGACCGGGGACCACCAGACCCGCACGGCAGGACTGAAGAGCAGCCGTCCTCAGCTGAGAGTCCTGTGACTCGCGCCCCAGCAGCTCGAGCACGAGCACAGGAGGGGGCAGGTAGTGGCTGAGAACGCAGAAGGGAACAGGGGAACAGGAGTGGGGACAGCACAAGGTGGGGAAAGGCGAGAATAAGAAGGAAGGGAAGAAGGTGAGGACACAAGGCAGGGACGAGGCAGGGGCAAGGGAGGAGTGAGGAAGGAGAAGGGAAGAACTCCGACAAGGTGGGCAGGTGGGCAGAGGGGAGGTGGGACGGTGAGAAGATCGAGAGGTGGGGCGAAGGAGGAAGAATAAAACAGTGGAGAAGGAAGAAGTGGGTAGAAGATGAGAGGAGGGCATGAGTGGAGAGGGTGGAGAGGAGAGGAGAGGAGAGGAGAGAAGAGGAGAGGAGAGGATGATAGGAGAGAAGAGAAGGGAAGCAGAGAGCATGAGAGGAGAGGAGAGGAGAGGAGAGTAGAGGAGAGGAGAGGAGAGGAGAGGTGAGGAGAGGAGGGGAGCAGAGAGCATGGGAGGAGACGAGAGGAGAGGGCCAGAGAATGAACTCCGGTGGAACGAGGTGTGGAGAGGAGAGGAAGGGGTGCCAAGGGACAGACAGACACCATGACAGCAATATGGTGGATACAGGGAGGGGTAGGGGGGTAAACCAGCAGCAGAAATCTGATGCAATGCGATGCAGTGCGATGCACTGCGATGCACTTCAGCCATAGGCTGATTTTTTCTCATCGCCCCTTCCTCGCATTCCACAAGCTCCTATCATGCATACCATGGCACTATTGCCACTATTGCCACCATGCGTGCACATGTTACCCATTCCATCTCAGGCCCCTCTCACCATCTCAGGCCCCTCTCACCATCTCAGGCCCCTCTCACCATCTCAGGCCCCTCTCACCATCTCAGGCCCCTCTCACCATCTCAGGCCCCTCTCACCATCTCAGGCCCCTCTCACCATCTCAGGCCCCTCTCACCATCTCAGGCCCCTCTCACCATCTCAGGCCCCTCTCACCATCTCAGGCCCCTCTCACCATCTCAGGCCCCTCTCACCATCTCAGGCCCCTCTCACCATCTCCGGCCCCTCTCACCATCTCAGGCCCCTCTCACCATCTCAGGCCCCTCTCACCATCTCAGGCCCCTCTCACCATCTCAGGCCCCTCTCACCATCTCAGGCCCCTCTCACCATCTCAGGCCCCTCTCACCATCTCAGGCCCCTCTCACCATCTCCGGCCCCTCTCACCATCTCCGGCCCCTCTCACCATGTGCGATCTCTGCTCGTCTCCTCTCCTTGGTGGAATCCCCGTATGCCTGCAATGCAATCACCACCACGGCAACAGAAACACTGGACTTACATACACCTCGTTGCCATGTGACGTGACGAGAGCAAGGAATGAGTGACGGAGAAACAAGAGGCGAGAGGCGAGAGGAGAGAGGAGAGAGGCGAGAGGAGAGAGGCAAGAGGCGAGAGGCGAGAGACAAGAGGCACGAGACAAGAGGCACGAGCTCACCTCGCGGGGGTCGAAGTATGCCCGCGCCAGCAGATGGTCCAGCTTCAGATAGCGGTCTGGTTGGTCCTGGTGGGCGGGCGGAGAGGGGGAGGGGGGGTACCGTGGTAGGTACGGGGAGCAAAACCAGAAGAGAAGTCACACGGGATAGTCTACCCCCGCCAGCAGATGGTCCAGCTTCAGATAGCGGTCTGGTTGGTCCTGGTGCGCCGGCCCAGTGGGGGAGGGGGGACGGGGCGGGGCGTTGGAACCGGGTCGTGGGGTTGCAGTGGAAGCACATGGGGTCACGGTGGAATGGGTTGCAGTAGAGACAGGGTACTGGCATGCGGGTGTCTGTCCAGCACATACGTTCATGCATACAACCATTGCACCAGCGTGCTAGCATGTGACCCACATGGCGCATGGCGCGGCATGTGCGCACACACCCACCCACCTGGCGCATGGCGAGCATGGTGAGCACACACCAGCATGGCATGGCATGGCATCACGCAGCACACACACAGCAAGGCGCACCTGGCGCATGGCGAGCATGGTGGGCGTCTGTCTGAGGATGGACTTGGCCGTCTCCGTCTCCCTCAACTCCGCCAGCTCCAAAATGATCTGCATGCGGCAGGTGGAGTGCGGTGCAGTGCGGTGGAGAGAGGTGGGACAAGGTCGGGCATGGTGGGCGTCTGTCTGGAAATAGAATTGGTCGTCTCCGTCTCACTCAGCTCCGCCAGCTCCAAAATGACATGCCGCCCAGGGGGTCATGGGCCAGGTGGAATGGAGTAGAGTGCAGTGAAGTGACGTGGAAAGAGGTGGTGGATAGAGGTGGAGAGAGGTGGCATTTGGTGGACGAGAAAGCAACGATTAAAATGTATTGCACCCGGTGATCAAGCACTGTCCCTGTGCACTTCCCGCAATCCCAGTACCTGGCATGGCACACACACACACACACCTCTCACTCACTCATTCTCACCCACCCGCCTTCTCGAACAGCACATTAAGAGCAGACCAGCCTCACCACAGTTAGAGCAGACCAGCCCCACCTGCTCGCACAGGTCCCACCTGCTCGTACAGGTCCTCCAGCTTCTTTCTCGGAAGCTTCAGCTGGGCCACCTGCGGGAGCACGGCGTCCCAGCGGCCGTTACTGACGTCAGCGGCGAAGGTCTCCAGGGAGTCGACCGTGTTGAGCGGCACCTGGCACTCGTCCTGCAGCGCCTGTAGCGTCTGCTGCAGCGCGTTCTCCTTGCAGAACTGTAGGATGATGCGAACTACACTGTAACGGGGATGAAAGGGATGTTATGGTGGGGTGGGGGGGGAAAGCGGGAGGGGTGAGTGACACGCAGCTTGCGAATTTGGGCGCACAAGGGCGCGGAAGGGCGCACAAGGACGCACAAGGGCAAGGCAACTTACTCTTGCGCCTCGATGCCAAAGGTCGCCATGTGATGAGCTACCGTCGCCCACTCAAAACGAGCACCACGAAGAACCACAGGCACGGCGACTGACAGGGGGGGCACGAGGAAGGGAGAATGAAAGGGGGGCGTTGAGGTAGGAAATATTATCAAGGTAGCACACGGTAGGGAATATCAGGGGGGAACCACAGGCACGGAGACTGAAAGGGGGAGCACGAGGAAGGGAGAATGAAAGCGGGGGGTTGAGGTAGGAAATACGGATGCGCATACGGATGGGAGAAGGCGGCAGGGCGTGTGTGGATGGGAGTTTGCGGCATGGGGAGGACGGGGTGGTACACGCGGGGAGGACGGGGTGGTACACGCGGGGAGGACGGGGTGGTACACGCGGGGAGGACGGGGCGGTACACGCGGGGAGGACGGGGCGGTACACGCGGGGAGGACGGGGCGGTACACGCGGGGAGGACGGGGCGGTACACGCGGGGAGGACGGGGCGGTACACGCGGGGAGGACGGTGGGAATGGGACTCGCGCCGGGAATGTCGTGAATGCGACCAAGGGAGGATTGTAAAAATAAGAGGCGAGGAGATGAAGGAGAGCGAACGCGTTCCGCAAGGCAAAGCATGTTCGCCCATCGAGCTGAATGCGGGCTGCACGTCACTTCAAATCCCTTCCCTTGTCATCAAGTTTCGCGAAATGGGCGGGTTCAATCCAAACCTCGCCCTCTGAACTGGAAATAGGACTTCACCTGCGCGTGGAGGTAGGTGTCTCTCTCAATACCCTTTCGGCTGGAACTGTCTCCGCGATTTCCCGCGCGCCAAGCGTGACGGGATATCTACAGTACTGTCCTGTGGACGGCGTGGATATAGCCAATCAAGGGCCCATATGCTCGATAAAGCCCCACGACCCAGAAACGTGGTCCACTACCCACGATGTTATGCCTACTGTGGTCGATTACACCGCCCTGGATCCCTGAAGTGGAGACCTAAAATGGCGGATGACTTGTAAAACAGAGTAGCTCTGATGACTGGAAGGTTGAAAACTTGGCTGGAAAAGCTCAACAGAGCTGCTGGACTTGATGAGAGAAAACTTAATCCTTGTTACGGGTGCAATTGAGTGAACGAACGAGAATTGCACTATCGAAGCAAGAATCCAAATGAGCGAAGGCATGAGCGAACATTATATAGCGAAACTACAGTGGTAACGGTAATGGTCGCGCGACGAGCCTGGGACTGAGGTTGGGAAAGTGTCGAAGCGTAGGCCCGGAGCGCGGGTTACCAGCCGAGCCGTGAGGTCGGGATGCGATGTGCGAAAAGGGCGGGATGATGAATGATGCGATGGTCGCGAGTGGTAACGGTGCTGACTGAGGTGCTACAGTGATGTACGCGTTGAGCAGGGACGCGAAGTAAGGAAAAGGGGATTTCCTTACACTACCCCCCCTCCTAAGGAGGTCCTCCTTATGAAAGTGCGTAGATGTCTCGGAAATTGCGGCTACGCAGGTAGTCGGTGACGACGGGGTGATTTTCAACTTTCTCCAGGGGAACCCAATTGTCCTCGGTGGGGGTACGATCTTTCCAGCGGATTAGAAACTCCACCCTTCGGGCTCCTCGAGGGTCGCGAACTCTGTGGCTCAGGATCTTGTCGGGGGTGATGACTGGTTCGGTTGGTGGTCGTGTCATGCTGGTGGGTCGATGTCGTGGGAGTTGGCTGGTGGATGGCACGTAAGGGCGAAGTAAGCTGACGTGGAACGAGGGGCTGACGTACCAGTCAGCAGGGAGGAGGAGGTGCGCGGTGACTGGCGTGACCATGTGACTGATTCGAAATGGCCCACAGTATCGAGGGCGGAGTTTTGGAGTGATGGGCAGGCGGAGGTTCTGAGCGTCGAGTAAAACGAGGTCGTCGGGCTGATAAGTAACGGGTCTGCGATGGCGATCGGCGTTGCGTTTAGCGATGATGTTTGATTTTTTGATTGCTTCTGCTGCCCTGGTCCGTGCTGCTTGCAGAATCTCAGCGAACTGTTGTGCTCGTGGGACGGGGTTGTCGGGATTCGGTGTCATGGGTACTGTTGGGTCTTGTCCGTAATTCAAGTAAAACGGCGACTGTTGCGTCGTGGCTGATGGTGCGTTGTTGATTGCGAACTCGATGAGTGGCAGCTGCTGTTCCCACGTATTCGGATCGTCGCACGTGGCTCGAATCAGCTGCTCCATGGTCTGATTTGTCCGTTCCGTCTGTCCGTCGGTTTCGGGGTGATAGGACGAACTGAACTGTAAGCGCGTGCCGAACTGGTGCCACAGGTTCCGCCAGAAGTTGCTTGTAAATTTCATGTCCCTGTCGCTGATGATCGATGCGGGTATCCCGTGCAGTCGAACGACGGTGGTGATGAAGAGTCGGGCGGTTTCCTCGGCTGTGATTGATTTCCTGCATGCTGCGAAATGAGCCATCTTCGTTAGTCGATCGACGACGACCAGGATCGCGTCATTCCCACTCGCCCCAGCTGGTAACCCCGTGACGAAATCCATCGTCACCTGCTGCCAAGCACGCTCTGGGGGCGGGATGGGTTGCAATTGTCCCGCCGGCCGCTTCCTGCTTGACTTCATGAGCTGGCAAGTGGGACACGATGCCACGTGTCGTTGCACATCAGTCAACATTTCTGGCTAGTAGTAATACCGCTGCAGCTGCTGCCGTGTTTTTTCTACCCCGAAATGTCCCGAGGTAACTCCGTCGTGTGCTTCTTGTAACACTAGTTCCCGTAGTAGCGTGTATCCTGGTACCCAGATGCGGTCGGTCCCAGCTTTTACGTAATAGACTCCTTTTGCCGCTGCGAATTGCTGTGAGTTGCCTCCTGTAAAGAACGGGTCTGTTTGATATCCGTGGGTAAATAGGCCTGTCAGTAGCGGGCTGGTCTGGGCGAGTAGTATCGCGTGGATCTGGGCAGTGGGGCGGGTCAGTTCGTCGGCGATATTCGAGGCTCCTTTTTTGTATGTGACCGTATAGTGAAAATTCGACTCGAGGAAATCGAGCCATCGAATCTGTCGTGGGTTGAGGTGGGGCTGTGCGCGGAGGTACTGTAGAGATCGATGGTCTGTCCGTACTGTCACGTCTGCGCCGGTCAAGTAGCAGTGCCACACTTTGAATGCGTGCACGATCGCGAGCATTTCGCGGTCGTGTATCGGGTAATTTCGCTCAGGCGGATGTAGTTTGCGTGATTCGTAGGCGATGGGTTGGAGGCCGTCGCCGAAGTCCTGTAACAGTACAGCTCCGATGGCGATGTCACTTGCGTCGGTAACCACTTCGAAAGGGCGGTGGGGGTCAGCGATGCGTAGAACGGGTGGTGAACAGAGAACGTTTTTCAGGGCAGAGAAGGCAGCATGCTCTTTCTCCCCCCACGTAAAAGCGACCCCCTTACGCAGTAAATCAGTGAATGGGGCTGTTAAACGTGCCATGTAGGGCACGAACCGTCGAACGTAATGAACAAAACCTAAAAAACTCTGCAGTTCCGTGATGTTCGTCGGGGGGCGCCACGCTTTTACCGTATCCAGCTTCTTTGGGTCAATCTCAACCCCAGCCTCCGAAATGACGTGACCCAAAAACTCTAGCCTGTCCCGAAAAAACTCGCACTTAGAGCCTTTGGTGAGTAGCCGATGTTCCTCCAAAACTTTAAAAACTGCTTCAAGATCCACTAAGTGCTGCTGCTTATCCCGGCTGTAAACTAGAATATCGTCCAGGTAAACTATTACGCATTTATCTAAAAGTGGTCTAAACGCCTCGTTCATGGTCATCTGAAATGTCGCAGGCGCGTTCGTCAGCCCGAATGGCATTACTGTATACTCGAATGACCCGTACCTAGTCCTAAATGCTGTTTTGGCGCAGTCCGATGGTTCGACCCGAATTTGATGGTAACCTCCCCGTAAATCTATTTTCGAAAAGACTCGTGCTGTTCGCAGTTGGTCGATCAGTTCGTCGGCGCGGGGGATGGGGTATCGCGATTCGACTGTTACCCTGTTGAGCGCTCGGTAGTCGATGCACATGCGGAACCCTCCGTCTTTTTTCGGTGTGAACAATATCGGTGCGGCGAACGGTGACGAGCTCGGTCGGATAAACTGCTTCTCTAATAGGTAATCTAACTGCTTCCTTAACTCGTCGAGCTCGGGCTGTGTCAGTCGAAATTGCCGCTGTACAGTTGGCTGTGCCCCCGGTTCTAACTCGATCCTATGGTCGTGCGCCCGCTGAGGTGGCAGTCCCTGTGGTAAATCATCCGGAAATATCCCCGGGAACCGTTTCAGTAGTGCTTGTAGTTCGGTCGGTACAGCTGCCAGCAGTTTCTCCAAATCACTCGGCTGCTCATCTTTTTCTACGAGTGCGATATCCACTGCGTACACGTCAGCTCCAGCAGCGACAGCCCGTTTCATCGTGATGGCGTTGACCTGGACCGTCGAAGATTTGGGTGGCTGCCAGCGAGGTAGAACGACCCAGTTACCACTACTTCGCACTGTGCAGCTCCCCGTCGTCCAGTCGATCCGTGGGTTGTACCGTCGCAGCCAATCACGTCCCAATAAAATGTCGTGCCCATCCAGTGTCGTCGCGAGCATTTCCTGTGTAAACCCAAAGTTCCCCCCGCAGCGGACTTTTACGCGCTCCACCTTTTCCCGTATGGCCAGGGGCGTGCCGTCGACTAAGCGTGCATCTATCTCAGGTAAACATCGGTTAAGCGTTAACTGTAATTTTCGTGCGGTTGCGATATTAACTAAGCTGTGGCTTGCTCCTCCGTCAATGAAGATCTTCACTGCTGCTCCCTGTATTTTCCCGTAGATCAGTACCGGGCAATCCGTCGCTGTACCCTCCTTATTCATCCGAGCCCGATCGATGGCGTGAATCGGTACTGTGACTCGGTGAGGGTCGGTGTGGTTGGGCGAGCAGGCAGTCTCGTCAGTAGTTGGCCCAACTTCTACTGACTGCTGGCGTTTCCCTGCCTCTGAGACTCCCTCCCTTGCTCTGCTCCTCGACGCCTCAGCTCCTCTGGACATTCGCTCTTGCGATGGCCCGGCCGGTTGCAAGCAAAGCAGCGCCCTCTAAACGGCGCGGCAGCTGCATTCGCTGCGACGGCATGTACAGTGGCGTGCTCGGTCGGTCCCCGAGGACGATGTCCGTAATAGGACCCCAGTCTCCGTCGGCGTAGGATATCGATTTTCTCGGCGAGCGCGAGGATCTCGTTGAAATTCGAGAGCCCACGTAGCATTATCTCGTGCGAGATGTCCGGCTTCAGCCCTCCGACGTAACGGTCCACCCGCTCCGCCTCGTGCATGTAGCCGACCTGTTCTCAAAGTGCGACAAACCCGCTGGTGTAGTCTTGAACTGACCCGAGCTGGCGCCAAGTGCGCAGTTTCTGACGCGCCGAAATCGAGGCCGCGATCGGCTCAAAGCGCGCCCGAAGCCCTGCGCACCACGCATCCCACGTGCTGTGTTGGGCGGTTTCGCAGAACGAACTCCAGGTAACAGCTGGACCCGAGGGCCCTTCCTCGTGCGACGGTGGCTCATAGGCGCGCGGCGACGTCACAATGACTCGCCACCAGTCCATGGCGGGGCCCCTGAGTAGTGAAACCGCATACCGGATCTTGGCGGCGTCCGACTCGACGTA